GCCAGAAATGTAGGCCAGAGGTGTTGGGGAGGGGTGAGAGTATTCACCAGAGACAGCGTGGGGAGCAAAACAGGCGAATCTACTGAAGTTCACTGCTGAGGGGGTCAGGGGGTAAGACAGGAGAGGTCTGTTGTGACATATGGCCAGGAATCAAACTAATGCCACAGTGGCTGGCAATAGCTTGGTATTGCTGAGACTTTAACCTCTGGGCTACCAGGGAGGCCCTTTCTGTTTTTTTAAGCTGATGAACTGCAGTGCAGTTTGATCATAGGCTATGTGTTGGCACTTCAGCAAATTGGGTGTACCCCTTCCCTTGATTGCCCCTAAACCCCATGAATATATTCCCTAAAACCATCGGTGGTGTGCAATCCATATTTAGAAAACACTTACCTGACTTGCTTCTTCTCAGAGACTCATTTCAAATCTCTTCCCATCTGACAATCCTTTTCTGACCTGTGCAGACCTCAGTCGTCCCCTCAACTACATTCATACAGCTACAGCACCAAATTAGTCAAATGTTGCCGTGTGACATTTTATTAAGGACAAAGACCTTGCTGTATACTAAGTTTTCCCACAGTATTTGGTATTCTACCTGGCAAACAGCAAGCATTCAGTGAATATTTGTGGTTTGATGAGCAGCATGGGTCAACTTTGTATAAAAATGTTAAGCAAAGTTTGAGTTAGGTTTTCTCCTACCTTGGCTGCTTCATCACTGAAACAAGTGGTGCACTGGGATGCTCCTCTGAGGTGTTAACTTTTTCCTTCTCAGAATTTCCTGGTTATTTTCTCCATCTTCCCCAAGTACACTTCATGTGCCAAGTGTCTTATCATCATGTTGGCTGATTTGCTAAGGTATTTGGTATTTTCCATGAGATTTTATGTTGTTTGATTGTGTGTAGTAAATTTCTTATATTTTATTTCATGGTAAAGATAGGTTACAAATATGTATTTCAGTACATATTTGCAACATAATAAATGAATTGATGTTGTATCATGTTATAAAAGACCCTATTCTCTCCAGAAAAAAATCCAAATTTCCCAAACCATTTCATATAATATTGGTCAAAGTTATTTATTAAATTTATTGATTTAGATTTTGTGAAAGATTATTTATGCACACAAGAACTGGGGTACAGACCAAAGGTGTGGAGTGGTGAGAGGATTCACCAGAGACAGAGTGGGGAGCAGAACAGGCAGATCTACCAGAATACATGTTGAGGGGAGCAGCAGGTGAGACAGGAGAGGTCTGCTGTGCCATGTGGGTCACATCCCTGGCCGGGGATTGAACTTGTGCTGCAGTGGCTGTGATAGCTTCATAGTGATACACTTTGATCCACTGCACCACCAGGGAGGGCCCTTTACTAAATTTATTAATAGGAATAGCAAAACTTGATAGTTTGGGCTCCAAATAATAAAAAAATTTCTTTCACATTTTCTCCTTTTGGTACAATTGTTCAACTTAGGTATTTCTTTCAAGGAACAATTTGAGATTCTATAGCTTTACACAGAATTGATGGTTCCTTCTCTGTACCCCTAGTGATACTCTGTACACATACTTCTTCTCATTAGAGATGACCAAACAATGTATCTGAACATAGATACAGTTGATAATAAAAGAATCACAAATATCTAAGCCAATACTACATGCCTTGGACAAACTAGTAAGTATAGTGATACCACTTTGGTAACTTTTTTTTTTTTTTGGTCATATTGCTTTGAAAGTAGTTATACATTAACCATGTGTCTTTTGCCACACAGTGAGAAGCAGAACAGGCAGATTGATTGAAATATACTGCTAAGGGAAGGAGCAGATGCAAGACAGGGGAGGTCTACTGTGTCTTGTGGTTTAGCTTCCTGGTTGGGGATCAAACTCAGGCTGTATTGGTGATAGTACTGAGTAAGTCCAGACCTTATTTCTGTTAGCTTCCTTTGTTGCTTAAAACTGTGCCTGGCATTTGGTAATGCTAGAAGTAATGTTTGCACCCCTTTAAAAAATGTTCATTTCATTGAATAGCATACCATCTTGGTAGAACTCAAACTATTTCATTTGGGGCCTATTATGAGTCATATTTTCAGTACTACAAATATAGAGCAATGAAGTTAATTATATACTTGTATAATGATAGCTAGCATTTACCAGCACTTACCATGTGCCTGGCCTAGGGCTAAGAACTTTGCTGGAGTTCTCATTGATTTCTTACTATTCTTGGAGGTATTACTGCTATCTCTCCCATTAAATTAGAAGAACAGATTGGTTTCAGATTACCCTGTTAATTACAGTTTTAATCCCAGACCCTGACTCCATGTACCATCTCCCTTCTATGTGAAAAATACTTGGAGTCAAATCATTTGAAAACATATCAGTAGCCTACTTGTAGGGAAAATCCACTTGCTTAAAATTTGTAAAGGCAAAATTATTTAACTAGTTAAAAGATTGTAGAATCAGACCAGTGTAGGTAACTGTGAGCTCACAAGTCAGCACTGAGTTGCTCAGTCCGTGCTAACAGCTAACCATTGCCGTTGGTGTTAACATTTCTATTTGTTAACATGTCAGTTTTGTTGTGATCATTTTCCTGTTAATGGACTATTAAGTTTTGTACCATAACAGTTGCATACATTTTGACTAGCATTTTCAATGTAGATTATAAATGAGTTATGAACAGTATCTTTCTACCTCTGTGTTTAGCATAAGGACAATACAGACACATGACATATTATTTGGTTTCTCTGATATAGTTACAAACCATAATTTGCATATTTGAAATACATTGTTGATGCTTTTGAAACAAAAGCTGTCTGTTTATTCTTATAAAACTAATAGAATTGTATGGGATAATGTATAGGTATAAATTATTTTAAACCACGAAGGATAGATTAAATATATAAGGAGACTATGCTATTAATATAATACTGAGGAAATTATGCACACACAGTTGCCTTTCAATTGAATGGAATTATCTCCTTAACAAGCTTTTTCTACATACACACGAGAGAAGTTATATTAATAACTCTTGCAGATGAGATTAGGTGTCAACTTGGATATGATGTTTGTTATAAACAAAATATTTAAAAATATAAAAATAAATGTCATGAATAAATGATAGAAATCATGACTGACAACATTTATAATTTAAAGGAAGGATTACAAACACATGTATCAAACACAGGAAATTTATACTTTTTTAACCATAGGGAATTTTTAGAATATGCCTTTGAATTTCACATCAGAAAACGTCCTCTAGTGGATCATGTTATTCCTTTTCAGTAAAATAAGATGCCAGGATATCACTGGTTTTAAAAAGTGCATTAAATGTCAAATTATCACTGTACTCAAGGCAGCTAGAAAATCAAAATGCTTATTACCACACAAGGAAGGAATTTATGATTAACTGACAGAGACTGGAACCAAGAAGAAGGTGAAAATAAAACAAATGGTTGTTGCCTTGCACTTTTAATATCTAAGAGGATTTTAAACTTTTTTCTATTTATTGCAGACATTTAGGATACATCAGCTGTGCAAAAACCATCTTCTTTTGGGGAAGACAGACTAATAAAATGCATACAAAATAAAGATTGTTGCATGACCAGAAGCAGCATTGGGAAAAAAGAAAGAACAATGGCGGAAAAATTGAGGAATGGGATTGGGTAGTCATAATTGTAAACAACTGGTCAAGGTAACCATCCTGTAAAGGTGAGATTGGAACAAGGTGTTCAAGGAGATGATACTAGGGAAGAATGTTCCACAGCTGTGGAGGGAGTGGCTCTCTGGAGCACCTTAAGCATTAGTTTGAAATAGTCAACAGGGAGAGGTTGGAGCTGAAGTCTGAGAGGCAATCTGGAAAAGGCTTTGTAGACCATTGTAAAGACACTGAGCTTTTACAGTGAATGAAATAGGGGACAAGTGGGGGGATTCTCACCAATTGGGACATAATTGACTTTCTTCCTAAGAAGATTTCTGGCTCTCTTGACAGTAAAATGAGTTCAGGTAGAGAGGGAACCCATTTAGTAATGAAATATAATGGAGGTCAGAGAAGTTGGAAGGAATGTTGGTGAGAAGTGGTCTGATTTGGGTTTATTTTGATAGTAAAACCAGCAGTCTTTCTTGACAGATTGAAGATGATGAGACCTGGAGGAGCCAAGAGTCAATTTTCGGCCTGAGCAATTAAGTAGAAGGACTGTAACATGGACTTAAGTTTTCGTGTTTTTTTTTTTTTTTTTAAGCAATGGAGAACTCCTGAGGGGTAGAAAAGTAATGTTTCGCTACTAGAAATCAAGATGGGGAAGACGTATATTACAGTCCGTAAAGTGTTGTAAGGGTGGAAACTTAAATAGTAGGCGTGCTGGAGAAGTGCTGGCTGCTAGATGGCACTCCCGTGTGTTTCTGATTTCGAAGGTAGAGAAAATTCACAGCGCAAGGCGTCGCAGATGCGACGGAGGCATATTCGTTAATTTCAAATGTCAGGTGAGTATTTTCAGCCGCGAGTCAGCTAAAGAAGGATTCCGGGACACTGCGTAAAAAATGCGGAGGTCTGGATCTGGTGGGTTCATCGCGTAACTGCTACCAGCTGAGTGCCGCCAGACCCCAGCTCAGAACCGACCCTCGCCCGCCGCTGCGGCTCCGCTTCTCGCGCAGGCCCTGTCGCTCCCCGCCGTCCGGGGAAGAGGCGCGAGCTCCGCCGCCCCACGGGTGGTGGGGAGGGGCTCCCGCGCGCTCCCACCGAGGCCGGTCGCCATCTTCGGGGGTGCCTTCCCGGAGCGGCCTCCAGACCCGGCTCTCCGCCCTCCGCAGGCCTCCGAGGGAGCCCCCCAGCCCACGTCGCCCAGGGGCGCCGCGCGTCGCGGGGGTCGCAGGCGGACTCCCTCCAGGGCG